ATTGTCTCAACTACAGGAAAAACTGACGAGGATGTCAAATCGAGAATCGGGAAGGCGAGAAACACATTCATCAACCTGAAACCAATCTGGAAATCTTCGTCACTCAACATCAACAACAAAATGATTCGGATTTTCAATACAAACGTCAAGTCAGTCAGTTCTTCTATACGGATCAGAAACTTGGCGGGTCACAAAGAATATTTCCAACAGCCTGTTGCAGACCCTTATCAACAACTGTCTTCGTTCCATACTCAAGATCAGATGGCCGAAAAGATTCACCAACAAGAAACTATGGGAAGAAATAAAACAAAAATCAATCGCCCAACAAATATGCAGGAGAAAGTGGAGATGGATTGGACACTCGCTGAGGAGGCCGCTGGGTGACGTTGCGAGCCAGACCCTCGAGTAGAACCCGAAAGGGAAGCGACGAGTGAGACGTCCAAGGTGACATGGAGGAGATCGTGTGAAAAGGAGTTGAAACAGTATGGACTAACCTGGATGCAGGTGATAAGTACAGCAGAAGACAGAAGCAAGTGGAGACGTGCAATTGAAGCTCTATGTTCCACTGGGAATCCAAGTAACAATAATAATAGTAAAAATTTTTTAATATGTTTTTCGGCCACCACACTTTAATTTCAAAAAAACCAGAAGTAATAACTATAGGTTCAAATTTAACATTCATACTAGTACATGATTTAGGCATCGAGAGAATTTTAATGTCCTTCCCTGCTCCAGGCACAGCACTATTGGACATTGAAGCATTGAAGAATGTTTGCAATAGGATAAGATAAAATATCAGCACATCTTCTGAGGACAACAGCAGATATACCATCAAGGTCAAGGCTTTGGACAGGTTTTAGAGATTTAAGAACATCAACAATGTTAAAATCATGAAAGTTGCTAGGTTTGTTATTTGTAGTATATCTGTTAGAGGAAATTGAAAACACAACCAAGGTGTTATCATGATCAAAAGTTTTATGGAGAAAAATATTTTCAATATGTACCAAAAACAAAAACTCCCTCCCCCCATTCAAACCGCTTTTGTTGTATGTAGCCTTGCGAATTCCTATAGACTGTCAATTATGTAGATATTTTTGTAAACAGCTGCTTAGAAATTTAAGAACAGTTTACCATCGCTTAACAAAAGAGAAATAAGCAATATCTTTCGGAATAATTATCATCTCAGTAATCTGTTGTCAATAGAGCTGAGTTTTGTTTTAATTAACACTTATCCTTTCAATGTATCTAAATAAGTGATAAGATTATATTTATAACCTCACTGACTGACTGACTGACTGATTGGTTTCAACATAGAGCTTTACTTTTTACGAGTTGATCACAGATTGATATCAGTTAGAGAACCGTTGAAAACCAGGTAGTGGAGTACTGAACAGCTGTTTCATCCCACTCGTTTGGGAATCATCGGCAGGACGCACTTACCAACAGGGTTCGAACTCAGGACCTTACAGTTACAAGGCAAGCTGGCCCGTATACCACTCAGCCACCACTCGGACCCGATTCACTGGCCAGACCATGAATTCTAACTTCTACAATATCGTGATTTAGCGCGACCCTTCTAATCGGAAGGTCCTGGGTTCGAACCCCCTATAGTGGGTGCGTCCTGCGGATGATTCCCAAACTAGGATGAAACAACTGGCTGTCCAGTACTCCTGTGCTGGTTTTCAATGGTTCTCTGACTGATATCAATCCGTTATTAACTCGTAAAAACGAAACTAATCCCTATAAATTAAATATAGGTCGATGAGTAGCAGTTTGAGTCGACCCACACTTCACTTAGCACACAAAGCCATAGAAGAAAAAGAAGAAGAAAGTAAGACGAAACGCAAAGCAGAGGCAGTAAAGAGAGATATGAGGCAAAAGGAATAGTCATATCGAAGAACAACATAGTTTTACTGGAAAGTATAAGTCAGGTGGAGTGGATGCTTCTGCGTCAGCCATTTTTACGAAGATTATCTCCAAACATTGGTTTTTACCGTCCCGAGGACCCCAACCAGGAAGTCTACACTTTCCTACGTGGCTGGCTTAAACTAGCTGTTGTGGATTTCATTGACTGATGAGTCCATGTTTTGGTTTACACCACCACTGGCTCTTTTTCAACAAGAATCTACGTCAGCTAACATTGCTTAGGCATGCGTATCACATGTCCTAACCATCTCAATCGATGTAATTTCACAACCTCATTTATTGATTCCCCCCCCCTTTACCTTATAACCTCACAGTCGCAGTAGGCCACAGAGAGACAGGCTGACTGACTGAGTTTCAACATAGAACTTTGCACCGAAGTGGAACAGTTTTAACTCCTTACACTCTAAGTAACATACGCAGAGGTCGGCGAAAAAGAGACAAAAAGAAGTTCAAATTGAACTAAAAATGAGCAGAAATGTATGGGATAAATACTAGTCAGGTGAAAGAACACGTGGATTTAATATATCTGGGATATTACAAAGAGTGAATGCATCTGAGATCACTGACGGCGATTTTAAGCCATTGGCTCTTAACATCCTGAAGACCACCAGGATGCATCCAGGCTGTCTGCATCTCCCTAGCCAGCTGGCTAAATCTAACTGTTAAGGACTTCATGTATCAGTGTCAAGTTTTGTTTTAACCACCGGTAACTCTTTTCCAACCTGATACTCTGTTAGTAAACATTGCTAGACTAAGGAATAGAAGGTTTGGAAAGCAAAACACCTGTCTTAGCCATTTCAATCGATGTAGACTCACAACCCCATCAGTTGGCTTCCTAACATTACCTACTTCTCTCTACCAATAATCCTCATATTACTAATTATATTACATTATTCAACATGGGAGGTATAAGGCAGACATTCTTGGTCAAAGACGACGTAACCCAATAAAACACTAGGAAGGGTTCAATTTCAGTATAACTGGTCGGGTCACTCAAGGTAATTTTAAGAGACGTTTTAACGCACACATACATAAATACAAATATCGTTCATTGATATAAGGATAAAATTTTGGCCCTGTAGTAGAGTGTAACTCCGTTTGTTATTTTGACAAAATAACACAGTGTGTTAAACAGTAATATTTACTGATGACCACGTTTCGAGCACAATTTATTGCTGCCACTCATAATCATATCAAGTCACTACTCACACAACTTTCTTGCTTCACTTATATACATGAGTAAAAATTGATGATTAGACATCTGAATAAAATCAGTAATATAAGATAAAGTACATTCGGAAATAATATTAGTGTTATCAATCAAATACAATCAGATGGGAAATAATTTGTTTTTATAATAAAATGACTGTGGGGTCAACTACACAGGTCAAACTGGTAGATTAGGAGTAGTGAGATTGCCTGTCAGAACATAAGAATATAGCTAAGGTCAGAATGATTGATCCCACGAAAATGAGTAATTTAGAAAAAAAAATCAGCTATAGCACTGCATGTATTAACACACCAACACACAATAGGGTGGGTGGGACAGAGTCAAAATTCTAAGAAGTAATCTTGGTAGGTGAAGAGCGAAAGTGAATGCTGTATCCTTGACCATCGAGTCTACACACCCAACACAACACATGCAACAGAAAAGAGTCAACGCAAATACCAGAGATATGGAAGATATTATGACCATCAGTCAAATCACAGGAGGATAATAAATAATCTTAAAATTCTGTTTCAATTTACGCACATCATTCTAACAAGTTACTTATTTAAAATATAAAAACACTCATCTTATTTCCCATCTGATTGTATTTTATTGATAACCCTAATATTATTATTTCCGAATGTACTTTATCTTATATTACTGATTTTATTCAATCAAATGTCTAATCGCATCAGTTTTTACTCATGTATATAAATAAAGCGAGAAAGTTGTGTGAGTGAGTGCCTTGATATAATTATGATTGGCAATGATAAATTGTGCTCGAAATGTGGTCATCAGTAAATATTACTTAGTGTATAACACACTGTGTGATTTATCAAAATAAAATTTTATCCATAATGAAATATCGTTCATGCCGAAATCTACTTTAAGATCAGTCGAATTCCCACAAACCCAATCCAGCCTGTGGATAGATACTCACCCTTAATGCTGAACAACATGTTTCTGCTTTCACTAACTGAGAGTGACTAGGATTCATGGGCAGCAGCAATCTCACCTCCTCACTTGTAGGTCGTAGGTTCGTATTCTTGTGGAATTATGAATTCATACTACTGGAGAATCCCAAAATCAGACGAAACAGCTGTCCAGGACCCCTCATTTTCAAATTTATTACTTAAACATTTATTGTCCATTCTTCGTAAAATCTACCCTGAAATTAACTTTTGATTATGATTACAAGTGGTTCATTCATTCATTCCTTCACGTTGTGAGTGGAATGTACAGTTTCGGGCTTCAGGCTATGATTTTTCAGTAACGATAGCTACTTGTTTTAAGAGATGGGGCTGCTAGCTTCTCGTGCAGCTTCTACCAGCTCGGTGAGGTTTAAAAGTGGCTGGGTCAAGGAAAAAAACCTGGGACTACCTGCATGTTTGTCCTACATTCTACTACCGAATCATCGAAGCAACATTAAACGTATTTTATTGTTAAAAGATAATTACTGTCAATGTTAGTGAACATTGAATAGTTTGTTTATTCGAACTGGTCTTCATGTGGTGGGAAACAAGAAGGCTGTCATCGTTTAACTGCGTACTGGTTGGCAGAGGATTGGAGAAATACGACCAGAAGTATTGTTTTTTCATTTTCGCTTGAAGAATAACTAATCGTGTTGCCCAACCGTTTCCTATTGTTCCACACTGAGTACAAAGCATAGTGTTCCACGTATTAGGCTTGATCTTCTGAAACCAGCAATAGGTTCAGGATCTCAGCTATCTGGATATTTGACAATTACTGATGAAAAACGCTTATGATCCGTTGCCGTCAGACTGAGTGATATTTAACGCGGAAAAGTAATAAGAATAGTGCAATAAAAGGAAATGCATTTAGATATTTTTAGGCAGTGACTTACCGACTATTGTTGCAAAAATAAATACACCAATTAGATAAGACACTATTGTGAATGTCAGCCTAAAATGGAATGTAAAGACAAAAAAACATATAAGAAGGATAAGGAATAGAACTTTTCATTGCAACAAATGTGTATAAGTTATTTCAGAAATGCACTCTCTCTTAAACATGGAATACACACATAAACATCACAAAACGTAAAACGACATCCAGTGATAATTATGAAAAACGAAATAACCACATAACCATTATTATCAGTAGTAGTAGTATCATTCCCTGAGGTTCAGAGTGGAACTCTTTTGTCAAAAAACGTCGGAAATCTACAGGCGAAAACTGACTACATGGCAGTAAAAGGCTTCAAGTGAACATAGAGAAGATAAAGGTGATAAAGATACCAGATCAAAACACATAACAAGTACCGACTACCATCAACGGGAGGAATTTGAAATAAGTCACATCTTTCACTTACCTGATCTCGGCATCATCGTTTCTACTACTGGGAACACAGATGAGGATGTCATAGACTCGTGGAATCGCATCAGCAAAACAAGATTGGCGTTTATTACTATGAAATCAATCTGGCAATCTACTGCATTCAGCTTAAGGAAGAAGATCCGGATTTTCAACATGGCAAGAGTAAACAATAGACACCAAGGTCAAATGACCTTGAAACAGCCAATCAGATTCTTCTAGGTGAAAAGTGGTACTTAATTTACAAAAAGGTGCATCTACGATATATATGTAATAAAACTGAATCATATAGGGTATATATCTCTAATATCCTGGCAAAAATGGTCCCAGATTCTCATAGAAGTGGTTATAGACATGTCGAACCAATGTATTCGCTATTTCTCCAGCTGTAGCAGATACTGGTTGCATATACTCAATTTACTAATATAGGAGAGCTTTGATTTCGAGAAGAAAGTGTCAGAAAAAATCACCACTTATCTACAACTAACTAACTTATACAGACTTCCTCAAATAAAGTGGTTGCATCTGAATGTATAACCACCAGTAGCCCGGCAATACTTTTGCAGAGTCATTATCCCTCCACATATGCATGCTTTATTCGTTCCTATCAGCCCATTTTCCACCGAGAAGTCAAAAACCAAATACAGCAGACATTTTCAACGAGGATTACGACTAGCAATGATTTGTAACGCTGAGCTGTCTGATTGGTCAAATCAAGGTCATTTGACTCTGGCGCCTATTCTTTACTGTTGCCTTCAACATTAATATCAAGTCAGTCTATGCTTTTTTTGTGTGTTACGGAAATTTGGCTTGCTCATCATGACGAGTGGAGTGACATAATGCTCCAGGAAAGAGTCATATGGAAGAGATCGTGTGTGTGTGTGGAGGATATGAAGGTTTATAGTTGTAATTCATGCCGTCATTTACGAAAGACTATAGAGAACAGAGTGAAACGGCACTGTGCTGCTGACACCCTTCGTTTCGCTCGGAACCCAGGGGAATCAGAATATTAATAAATATATTTCTGTGAGAATTAGTACGACAAACTTCCGGTGAAAAAGTGTGCTTAAAAGATGTCCATATTGTCTCCGATAGGTAAATCATACAAAAGTCACTAGTTAATACTACGACTCATGGGAAATGCTTCCGAGTTATGTTTTGTACTCACTAAGGCGGTTAAGAAGAAACAATAACTCATTTAGTATTTTCAAGTATTGGTTATTTTGTAGGGATTTAGTCTGATTGATTGGAGGATTTCACCATGTGCTGACATCAGTTAGAGAGCCATTGGTAAACCAACTGGATAGCTGTTTCATCCACATAGTTTAGGATTCATGATCGGTGCGCACCCACCGGCAGGGTTCGAACCCAGGACCTTCTGGTTAGCGAGCTAGTTGATCATAAAGCCACTGAGACCCGATCCAATGGACCAGTAGGATGCAGCAGGCTAAAGGTGAGGTAGTAACTCATTGAAGAGGACATTGCGAAGTGGTCGCGCTATGTCATGAATTGGCAGAAGTTGAAATTCATGGGCTGGCCGTCGGATCTGGTCCCAGTGGCTGCTGAATGGACTGCGAGCTCGCTATCCTTGTAACCAGAAGGTCTTGGGTTCGAATCTCAGTGGGTGGGTAATGCCAATGATTCCCAAACTAGGATGAAACAGCAGCTGTCCAGTACTCCCTGGCTTTCAATGGTTCTCTAACTGATATCAATCCGTGATCAACTCGTAAAATTCAAAACTAATATTAATTTTTGCGATTCTTAAGTATTCATTCCAATATAAAATTCTTTGAGAACTAACAGCACCTAGGGATTATTGAAAGTCGGAGAGTGTTGAACATCTGTTTCGTTCAGAGTGGAGACTGTTCAGCGATGCACATCCACGACTCCACCCATGATCAAAGCATAAGTCATGAGATCAGGCTTGTTGAGCATTCACCCAAAGTGTTTGATTTGTAGAGATGCAATTGATTTAAGGACAAATCTCTGCACAAATTGACAGAGAATCTTTGAAAACCAGTAAGAGCGGGGAAGTTCTTGCATTACCTTGAGCTAAAGTGTTAAGCACGTCATCACGCAGTCAGTGAGTTGACATCCAAGAGTTGGTCCATGAATACTAATTTCCATCAGTTCACGAAATAATGCCGCTGCTGTCGACTATCATCAGCAAGTATCTGTCCTCATACCTTTATCAACGGTGAATCTTATTGATGACCAGAGCTCCTCATTAGAACTCGATGAGGCTCATTCCACATTGTTAGTCAGTAATGAGCATGGTAAATGATTTTCATTGCGTTTTTTTCCAAAGTAGTTGACATTTCTCTGATGTTCAGAAAAATAAATAGCTACCAAAATTGTAACCTTTCCATTTGTAAAAGTTAATCATAACACTACACAATCAGGTGATCATTATTTTTGAGCAAACAAACAATTAGTTTAGAGCTAACACAACATTTCTCTGGGTTTTATAAGGCATTATGTCATGGACCTTACAATTATGAAATGTAATTTATGCCAACCATCATGCATTTATTCCTCTTGGTAAATTTCAGTAAAGCAAGAACAACAAAAGTGGTTTGTGCAGAATAAGAAGGTGGAACCATCAGAGTTTATGTCGTTGGCTTCCCATCAACTCAGCTGCTTACAGTCTAAATAAATTATTATTAAGTTCATGTACAGAAAAGTTTTAACATGATTGCAAATTCTTCATGATGTCAGTTGACAGAAGGTTCCGCAATTAGTGAACAGTGCTCAGAAAATTACGCTTATAGAGTTTTTATACAGGGAGTTCAAATTTAAACAAAGTAAATGTTTGCATACAATGGTAAAGGAGTTACGCAATAAAAACGAGAGATGCGTAAGATTCTGAGTGACTAGTAAATTAGGTAAGAATGAACCGAGACAAGCAAATACACTTTATCAAAGGGTGGGTGTGACGTTGAAGGCAAAGATTGCGTAATCATCCAGCTACCAATGCAGGGAAAGACTAATAACTGCTTCTGATAGAAATGTACTTCGGTAAACTTGAGGAGAATCGAGCTCCTTTGTGTATTGATAATTTTAAAGGATTCCGCGATTTCCACCTCATGACCTGTATCAAGGAGATGTCTGGTGGTGGCGCTATTATAAGAGTTTGTTCCTTTGAGACGTAGATTGTTTCGTACATGTTCAGAAAATCAGAGACGTAACCTTCTTTTTCCTCTCCCAGTGTAAATTCAAATTAAGGACCATTTAGATAGAATCCTGATTTGCTTTGGTCGGAAGTAACTAGCAAGATTCCCATTTTTTCTGATGTGAAACGTTTCCGCTAGAAGCACCTGTGTTCCCGTTAAGTGATACTAGTCCTACTGACATACGAACCGTGCACTCATCGTTTCTACTGCCAAAGCATCATCCACTAGGCCACGATGGATGCAAAGTTCGAATCTCAGTGGGAACACCACTACTTCTTGGGAATTTAAGTACATCCAGTTGACAAGTAATCCCAGGTAAGACAAAATGCTCATCTTGAACTTTTCTGCTAGTTATTATCCACCAAAAATTACATAATATGAACCTTCAGACGAACTCGAGACGTCCGTGCTAGGAGCCGGCATATCAATAGGAGCCCGACTTAATAATAAGAACAATAATAATAGCTTCATTTTGTACAGCATTTATATACTGCCCTAAAATTTTCAGCATAATTTACTGCATGGTATTTTCTTCTCGTCCAGGATCTTCAAATAAAATATCACGTGATAGTTGACCATGTGAAACACTCCTGCTTGACATGAAGCGCATACCAAGAAATTATGATATCACCCCTTTGTCTTCTTCGGTAAATTCATGTTATTTGGTTGAATGGCAATTAGAAAAGTTTCAAGAATCGATTCGGTGAACCAAAGACACAACCCAAGAACAGCTAGCTATCTCATGCATTGCAATACACCCCGACCCACCCACGATTATGTTTTTCCCCTCACGATAACTAGAAACTTGCGAATCAGCAAGTTGTAAGCACATTTAAAATACTCGCCAGAGTATAAAATGTCATTGAAGGTCACATTTTATCATATTTAAACAAACTAAATGGGATTTTTCGGTAGCCCGAATTTAAACAGGCCGCCAATGGAGAATTAATCGACGGGAAATGCTAATCACCTTAAAAAAATAGAATGAAAAATCTAATTTTTAGGTATCATGTACATCATGAAATAATATAATTCGCATTTTGCCTCCGGTAAATCTTTATCCCATTTTTCCAGTGTGAGATATAATTAGAAATTATTTTTTCCATTCAAGAAACATGACTTTAAACGTCATATGATAACTTGTTAATTCTGACCATTAAATGTTTAAATTTGCATTCCATATTAGTTCGTTTATTAAATGTATCACACAGTGAGTGAAACAGTATTATTCACTGGATGACAAGGTTTCGAACAAAATTTATTGGGGTTCATAATCATATCAATTATAACCACGTGACTTCGAAACTTGAGTTTTATAGTTTTCTTTGTTCTCTCCTATTTTTCATCGTTGGGGCAGTAGAATTTTCCAGATATCTTCCTGGACAGGTGTTGAATCATTCCTATTACACATATTCT